AAGTATGAATTGACCAGCACATCCCAGTTCCTCACCACTGAATGTAAAGATGGCATCAAATTGAAGAAGCTTGATAAAGCCTCCTTCGCCAGGGAACTTGTCAGTCAACTTCCACAGGAGACGAGGAATGTAAAGAGTGAAGCTCAAATAACAATAGTGGACTTCATGGCACTTGTGCGTAAACTACTGATGAAAAAGATGGGCCTTCACACATTCGGGGAATTGGCTGAGAGTCTTTCCAACAGCATTCTTGCTACAGGCTCCGAGTTCACAAGAATAGACATTATTTTTGATGTTTATCAAAAATCATAAATCAGGCAAATGGAACGGGCACAGAGAAGTTCTACAGAACAAATTACTATCACCATTAGGTCTGACAATCAGAAACTCCCTGTCGATCTTGATATGTTCTGGAGCACAATGTTGAACAAAGTTCGGTTGCAGGAGTATGTCTTCAAGTGGATGCTGCAGAATGTCAAGTCGGACAAGGAGATCTTCTTTGGAGGAGTATATTAGCTGGCACTAAAACACAGATCGCAGAGCTCTCAAGCAACCATGAAGAAGCCGACGACAGAATCATGTTCCATATTAATGATGGTGTTGTGAAACACGGGGTTCAATCAGTCTTGGTTGACTCACCTGACACAGATGTCTTTGTCCACCTCATCTTCTACTTCAACAAAACCTGGCAACTAAAAAAGCTGTACGTGAAGCTTGGTAACCGGAAAACAAAAAAAACTGTACCAGGCAGTCCACCTGTTGGTTGATCAACTGGACAACGGTTTGGTGTCGTGTCTCCCAGCCATTCATGCTCTCAGCGGTTGCGACAGTACCAGCAAGGTGGGTCCAAAGCTGTCTGGTCTGAAAGCATCCATGGATCTCTCCCTACTGGAAGGGTTTGGTGTAGAAGAACTGTCATCACACGTACAGATAACAACCAATGCTAAAAAGTTCTTTGTGTCTGGATTTAAAAAAACAGACTGTTCCACTTTTGATAAATATCGATGGGAGCAGTACCACAACTCCAAGAAAGAACTGGACTTCAACCAGCTTGTGTGCTGTTCATCAACGCTACGAGAACACATAAAGCGAGCATATTTGCAGTGTAAGATGTGGTTGCAAGCCCCAACTCCCGCAGCCACCAAACCAGATCCACTCCAGTATGGATATGAAGCAACGGATGTTGGTATAACACCAGTGATACTGCCAGTATCGTGCAGGCCCGATGACCTGCCCCCTCCATGCAAATGCCCAACATCACGTATGAGTACCAAAACGTGCACTTGCAGAGAAAGGAACATAAAATGTGTGACGTTTTGTGGCTGTAGTAAAGGCAAAAAGTGTAGAAATCTAAATAAATGTAGTACGTAACATGCTGAAATAGGGTTTTTGGCAATTATCTTAAAAACTCTTAACTTTTGGATACAAAAATGTATTACTGACCCCCCATAATGTGGCCATTGCACAAATTTTGAGTGGTCGCGCAACCTCCTAGGTCCAACGGTTCTGTAGATACAGTCACGGTGGATGGTAGTGGGCGAAGGGGGGCGTGGCCAAAAAGCTATTTTGCCGTCAGTGGGAAATGTGTTACCAACCAAATATTGTTCATGGACCTTCAATTAGTGGATTCTTGAAGAGTTTAGGTTTGGACATAAATTTGCATACAAAACCACCATGAGCTACTCTAGTACAAAGGTTTATTTTGTAGAAGCGACATCTCAGATAGGCGCTGAAGAAACACAATAGCATACCGAGCGTT